AATTTCAATAAAGGAGCATATGTCTGAACACATATAACATGATTTTCAGTTCAATGTGAAGAAAAAAATAATTGTCTTGGTTAATCACATCACTCGTTTATAAAAATGTAATCTTTTCACATTGTATTTGAGACTATTGGTTACTCTTGTTTTCTTGGAGTAATATTATTCACTAGATGAACTAGTAATTATAGTATTATTTTTTTTATCTTTGTTAATTTATTTTATCTTTTGTTAATGGAAATATACATAAAATCCCCCCTCAACTTGTCTGCATAACTTAGTTTAACAATGCAACTTTACAGATGTTTTTTTATCCCCTAATGTAGTTCCAGTTAAATTAAATTACCCCCTAAAAGATGATGTGGCAAGTTTGTATCATCAATTTTCTACAGGCGCGTGAAGATGAAAAATAAAATAAAAAGTTGTTTCAAACTATGCACGTGCCATCTTCTCTTAGGATGACAAAATATATTAATTACTCCATATTTTACTATTTCTAAAAAATATTTTCTTTTTAATTCAAAATTTCTCTTTCTTTTATCCATTTTTTCCCTACTTTTTCTACCTTCCTCTTTCTTTCTTCTTTTTCAGTCCATCACACCCAGTTACAACAGAGCATTTTTTTTTCAAATGTCAATATTTTTCTGTTCTTTTTGTTTCTCCTTTTTAATCTTTTCTTTGTTTTTGTGTTCTTCTTTGACAAGAAACTTGATGTTCACTTTTTCGACACGATTTTTGGTGACTTATTTTCGACATCAAGAAAGTGTCAAATCATCCGTTAAAGAAGTCACAAAAAATAGATCATAGAATCTTCACCCAACTTACAAAAAAAAACTAATATTCTTATGGAAAGAGTATTTTCGATCTTCAAAAGAGGGGGTTGAGGAGTAGCTGAAATCAGAATTGAAATTGAAATTGGAATTTAATAAAAGTTTTTATAGACTTTGTTGTTAATTCATGTAAGAAGAAAAGTTGAAAAAAATTTGTTATAGCTTAGAGTTGCAAAGGTTGTTCGGATTTCTCTTTGAAAATGAGAAGGTGGTTGAACTTGAGGACAACAATGGAGAAAATTCAGTTATTTAGGGGATTTTAATAATTAATTAGAGATTAATTTATGAAATTATAATTAATAAAAAAAACTAAGAATAATTAACAAGTAAAAAAACAAGAAAAAATTAAATTTAGTATAATTCCAAATTAAATTTGATTTTTCTTTTTTATTTATTTTTTAAATATTATTTCTTATGTGGATCTAATGTGGCGTTGATGTGGCACTGATGTGACCCTGATGAGGCGTGTGTGTAGTGCACTTCCCAGTGTGAGACTGGTATTGTATTGTTAGGGTGGGATTAAATTCACTTCAAAAATGTTAAGAGGGTATGTAAACACCCGTGTAGTTTAAGTACTAAAGTAAGTTATCGTGCCAAGTTCGGAGGGTTTTTATGTATTTTCTCTTTGTTAATCATAAATATGGAAAAAAATTATGTTCACAGGTGTATTTCTAAGGAATGTGCAGAAAGATAAATAACATACCAGTTTGCAGGAGAGAAATTAATTTAAAATAATTGTAGTAACAATCGCTAAATGGCCAGAAAATTTGGCAAGAAAATTAAAAAGTCTATAATATCCTTTTTATTTTAAAATAAACTTATCTTTTTTCCATTTTTTAATTAAAAGCTATTAAAGTTAAAAGGGTAAAAATGTTCACAAAGGTAAAATAAAATAGTGTGAAATATATTATTTTACCATTCTGGCCAAATTTTCTTATATATATAGGAGAGTAATTTGCAATACGGTTAAGTCAAGTGGCAAGCTAATGAAAAGTCACTAGGTAATTTTAAAACAAAGTTAATAAATACTGCAGTAAAACTTTTGAATTGAAAGTATTCGAATTTTTTGAAAATTCATTAAATTTTTAAAAATAACTATTTTTTTTTAGATTAAAAATAGAAATTCATAAGTAGAAGAATTCTAAATGAACTTTTACTATTTCACAAACTTATATTTTCATATATGATATTTGAATTTATTTAATTTTAACATTAAATAAAATATACTTATTATTGTTATTAATATTATTATTTATTATTATTAATAATAATATCAACAAGAAAAACAACCACAACCGTAGCAATAGCAATAGTGGTAAAAAAATTCACGTTTACTAATTTTATCTAATCATGTTTTAAATTTAAATATCTTACACGTTAAGAAACAAACAAAAGAAAGAAAAGAAGATGAATGAGAAAATAAAAAAAGCGTGTGAAAAATCATTTCATTAATTTTCAAATATTGTTTTCAATTCACGTTTGAAGAAAATGTGCATTGTATTTTCAAAAGAATAAGGATAAGAAAGAGAAATTAAAAATATCTTTTTTTAGAAATTGATATGATAAAGTGAATTTAAATATAAATGGAATTTGAGTTGAAATAGATCTGTTCTAACTTTTTAACTTCTCTTATATACTTCTACAATGTTATATAATGATTAGCTTTAGGGTTGTTCATGGTTTGGATAAAAACCGATCCAAACCGAAAAACCAAACCAAACCGATTAAATGAACCGATTTAATTTGGGTTTTGGTTTGGTTTGGTTTTAGATTGTTAAGAACCGATAGTATTTGATTTGGTTATGGTTTTGTTAAAAAAAATCGAAGAAATAACCGAACCGAACCGAACCGAACGAACAAGTTATATACATAAATTTTATTATTATACATACATAATATATTATATTCATAAACAATTTTAAAGATTTTACATATATTTCATCAAAAAAAATTATGATTTACTTATGAAAGAAAAAATGTCCAAGGTGAGAACATTTTTCTTATTGGTTTAATGTATATGAGTGTCTATGAAAATTCTCTGTGGGACTAAAAATGTCATTGTCTCTTCCTTCTATGCCAAAATAGTGAATTTTGAAGTTTTATTCACTAAATTCAATAATTGAAAGTTATGTAATGCCAGTCATTCTAACTATTTTTTTGTTTGAATGGATTGTTGTCACTTTTTTCACATTTTAAATGAATTGTTTCTTTTATTTTTGTGTATGGTTAATAACCGAATAACCGAACCAAACCAAACCAAAACCGAAAATAACCAAACCGATAAATGTATATTATATTTGGTTTGATTTGGTTTTGATAATTTTAAAACCGATTAAGTTGGTTTGGTTTTGGTTTTGACCAATAACCGATCCAAACCAAACCGTGAACACCCCTAATTAGCTTTATTGGTGAATCTGAAAAGGATTATATTTGTGCCTACACTCTTAGAAAAGGATTATATTTGTATTCGTTATATTTTTTTGATATTTTTTTCCTGTAATCCAACTTTAAATACATATTTACCCTGGGGACATGAGACTTACCAGTCCAATGGTAAATATGTACCTAAAATTTAATTGCAGGGGTAAATATATTAAAAAAAAGTATGACAAAGAGCAAATATGATCTTTTTCTAAGAGTACAAGGGTAAATATGACCCTTTTCTAAGAGTACAGAGGCAAAACGAACAGTTCACCTATTTATGGCGAACTACAACTACCATCTTTTAACGCAGTAGTCGCCGTTAACTCCAAATTCATCTCAATTACTATTCCCTACAAAGTATATTTCTTTTCATCATTGCATTTTCCAACTTTCCTTTGGTATGATGTAAAATATTTATTTTATATAACTAAAAGAAATCATTTATTTTTTTTAAGAGTATCAACTAAATTCATTCGACGTAGCAATTATGTCATATGAAAAATGTCTATATACGATTAAATATCCAAGCTTCACAAATTATGCTTTCGTCGGCTGTCACAAATAAAATTGGATATTGACTTTTATTGGGAAAACATCTAGAATATATTATGTAATATAGCTATAATTTTGATTATTTTTAGTATGTAGCTATAGTTTTGTGGAATTTTTCTATTCGGTTTTTTAATTGTATAAATCTAAAATTTGTATAATTTGGTTCTTGATTGTATAAATTCAAAATTTGCATATTTCGATCCCTGATTGTGTATATGCTTACTCTAGCTATTTGTATACAATTTATGAAAAAATCATAATAAATTACCCTGTTTTGTATATTGACAAACGAAATATAGCTATAGAGCCTATGATGTTTATATCTTTGTTATTTATGAAAATTTTCTCAATTTCATTTGCTTAAAAGGGATTATTATCTTTGTTATTTATGAAATTTTCTCAATTTTATTTGCTTAAATGGGATCATGGGTGAAGGAACCTGGTCCTCTGGTATTTTAGCAAAATTAATGTTTGATTTTTTTTTTTTTAAATTGAAAACTTTGAAAAGAGATAAATTATATATTTAACTAATTATCAGGGCTTCTTAACTTTAACAATCTAAAAAGAATTACTTTAAAATTATATATATAAAAAAACTAGTCATATCAACTAAATTGTAAATAGACAGATTTTAAGAAAATAAAACACACACAAATCAGATGATTTGAAAATAAAGGACCTTTTTTTTCATTTAAAAATAACTAAACTTAAAATAGTTCTAGAAGTTAGCTAAATCTTAATTAGCAGTCCAAATAGTCCCTAATGGTCAATTTTATGATTGATAATTAGTAAAAACGATATGATAAACTGCGTTGATCGTTTGCAAATTTAATTAAGAGATGACCCGACTGTTTTTTTTTTTTAATTAGAAGATAGCCACATTTTCTTTTCTTTAAAATATATAAAAGCCTAAGTAATTAGATAAGATGAAAATATCTCCTAAATATTTTTACCTAATCTTTATCTTTTTTTTTTTTTGAAATTCAAATGAATTTTATAAGATAATTCGTTTTAACCGTATTAGAGTATTAAGGAGTCTATTATAAGAGTCCATGAGGTATAAGTTTGTTTGTGAAACATTAGAAGTGTATGAATTAAGTTTGTTTGTCAAAGAGTTTTCCTCTATCAATGGAGTCAAACAACAGTTGGAGTTATGTGAGTACTCCTCATTCCCCTAACCCTAACCCTAATATGGTTGGAAGAAGGGATAATAACTTTGTTTATCCACCAGGTTATCGTTTTTGTCCACATGATGAAGAACTTATTCTTCATTATCTCAAGAAAAAAGTAATGAACGAACTTTTACCATACAACATAATCAAGGACGTTAATCTCTACAAGTATTGTCCTCATGAGCTTGCAGGTTTTGTTTCTTCCTAATTACCAATTATGTATATGTTAAAGAAATTTTTTCTTGTAGTTTTACTTGTTCATATTCAGAATTTTTCATTATTGTTTTTGTCTACATGATGAAGAATTTATCTTTCATTATCTCAAGAGAATTAACTTTTAGTCTTGTTTTGTTCATGCCTAATAATTTTCAATTGTTAGAGTTTATGTATATGTAAAATAAATCTTTTCTTGTAGTTCATATTTGTTCATAGATTTGTTTATTATGTTCTTCATATATATTTTTATTTCTTTTGACATTAGATCTAATCACATTTAAACACGAAATCTTTTCTAATCACATTTAAACACGAAATCTTAATTGTTACTTTTTTCTTTGCTAAAAGATTGTTTAGATTTATATTATACATATCTAACATCTTTTCTACTCTACATACCGTTTTTACCTTTTTTATAAACATCTAACACGAACTAGTAGAAGAGATCAACATCTATTATATCAATATCTTTCAATAATATTGTTACATTTTGCATTATTGAGTTACTCTTGGATATTGATGCTCAATACTGAATTATGCTTATTTTTTTTATAACTATTCATTATTAATTCATTAAAACATAATCATTTTAATCTTTTCTTAACTTTCTAATTTAAAACTATTAATTGTTTTACTTTTTTTTTTGACAAATCAAATAGAGAACTATTCAATCTTGGGAGAAAAGGAATGGTACTTTTTTACTCCAAGGGCTAGGAAATATCCTAATGGTGAAAGGCCAAATCGTGCTGCTGGAACAGGCTACTGGAAGGCTACTGGAGCTGACAAGCCTATTATACACAAAAATGTTAAAGTTGGATTTCGAAAGGCTTTGGTTTTCTATGAAGGTAAACCTCCCAAAGGCAATAAAACAAATTGGATTATGCACGAATTTAGAGTGGATGAATCGCGCACGATCAAAACACATGCATCTGACATGAGGGTAAATTATCTATTTCATCTTTTCTATTTCAATAGTGTTTACTTGTTTTCAATATGATTAAATCTTTATAGCATGTTATTTGTTTTATTTATTTTTATTTTTTAGTTAATAGGTAGGTAACCTAATTAAAATATTATATTATACTGTGTTGGTATACTTAATTAAGTTGTTTTCATTTTACTATAATTATAGTTATCATTTTTGTTATTGTAGCTCGACGATTGGGTTCTATGTAGGATTTACAAGAAAGCTGACAAGTCATCCAAAGCTAAAGATGACCACGAGCAAGAAGATTCTATGATTTTAGCAGAGGTCGAAAATCCTATTAATTTAGCGGAGGTCGAGAATCCTATCAATTTAGCGGAGGTATGGAATCCTATCAATTCAGCGGAGGTAGAGAATTATCCTTATATGAATTCATGTGATGAAGTTGGTAGACAACAATCTCAGCCAACTCATCAGAATAATCAAAATAATTATAATTCCCATTATGGAGCAAGATTAAACTATGGATTGAACCTTCCACCACCATTTCCTCACGAAAACATGCATTATGATCCAAACAACAGCAATTGGTTGGATTGGATTAACAATGCTTATGATTATGGTAACACAGATACTGATGATTTAGATGAGAACCAATCCAACGATTAAGCTTGATTAGATCGTTATTAGCGAGACAAATCTATTTATATTAAGAAATTAGTGATAGCTAGTTCATTAGCTTAATTTCACTGTTTTTTAAAAATTAGATATAGAATGAATATTAGTGTTGCTATTTCCTCCTTGTAATTGGTTTGAACATTGTATTGTTTAATTTTTACTAGTAATTAAGTTGTCTCGTTCTATTGTATCGTTTGCTCTACTTTTTTTTTTTTTTTTTTTTTTATCATTTGCATCTACTTATTCTAATCAAAATTATTGGCTATCACGATTGAAAATCACTTTTTACCTAATCTTTATCTTTTTTTTTTTTTTTTTATCATTTGCATCTACTTATTCTAATCAAAATTATTGGCTATCACGATTGAAAATCACTTTTTACCTAATCTTTATCTTTTTTTTTTTTTTTTTTTATCATTTGCATCTACTTATTCTAATCAAAATTATTGGCTATCACGATTGAAAATCACATTTTAGATTTGTCTATTTGATTATTATATATTTAATCAGTTTTGATGGGGAACCAATGAGGAAATTTGTTATATTATGCCAAGATTCTATTTTGCAAATGCCTTTCAATTTAAGAAAAAAAATTAATTCGTAGACTCCATTGTTTTTACCCTATTTCTATACTATCATGGATCACCCACTACCTGGTGTTGGTTCCCCTCTTGGTAAAGAAAGCCTCCATTTTGAGTTCGAGAAATTAAATTTAAAGTGGAATCGATTCAACTATTCAAGTCGGATAGTATTTATCTACTCAAAAAACTCGATTGCAATAAAAGATAAATAACTTGGTGATTTGACCTAGACCCCTAGAATATGTTATTTTCGAAAATAAGCGGGTTTCTTGTTTTTTTTTTTTTTTTTTTATATATGGAGATAAACAAAAATACTATTATCTCAAAAGTATTTATATGTTATCTAACAAAACATTAAGATGATGGGGAGGTGCAGGATGGGAAAATGATAATGCGAAAATTAAATAAATCAAGATATGAAATGAATGTATCAATTGTCTGAATAGTAGTAGACAGTTTTAACCAAAAGTCAGAAATTAATATTAAAAATTGACATTGTTATAACTTGATAGCACAAAAATTAATATAAATAAATGATAGTAATTGAGAGAATAAAGATGAGAATTTGCAAGAAAGGAGAGGGATGGCAGGGTATTTATAATGGGATAGGCCGTCTTTGCCTCTTTGCTACGAGACATATTTAAGAGTATATATAGTATGACCATCTTATAAAAAAACTTCAAATTTTGATTATTGAACCATTGTTTACAACAATATAATATCACTATCAAGTAATGCCACATACTATTCTTCAACTCGGCCATTAAATCAAATTAAAGCCTCTTATCATGCAAGTGTTTATAAATGTGATGAGAAAAGACATAAAGTCATTGAAGTTGTTTTAAATTTTCAAAAAGATATCTTAATTATGTGGGTGTTCTATTACCCCATAAAAGTAATAAATATTGTTGTAAAGAGACCATCTTGATCCATTTTCTCACCAACCCAAGAATTCTAATAGGAGAGTGATGCACACCCTCTTTTAATAAATTAATTTAAATATTAATAAAATGCAGACCCAAAACTAAAATATTGGCACATCTTTGCCCGTAAAGGATGCTTTCGCTGTTTTTAATTTATGAATTTCTTCAGAACCTTTTCAATTGATGATTTCAATTTCTTGGGAGGTGATTTGCCTCCGGATGCTAAAGCAAGCTTTCGCTTTTTGAAATCGTCTATTTTTTCCACTATTATTATGAAGAGTTGAGCTTCTTTAATTTTTGGGGGTTGGGATTTTGCTAGGATTTAATTTGTGGCATTTTTTCATAATGAAATAATGCTCCAGACTCACCCATCTCATGAAACGAAATTCTAAAAAAAAATAGAAGCTTTTAAAAATGGGAAAACACATAAATTTCTTTTTTTGCTTTGACCAATAAATTTGCACTAAAAGTCAGTTTTCATGTTTGCATCGCATCACACACAACGTCGATTCGTTCTCAATCATTACAAATATGATTCAAAATTTGTTTTTGACATTATAGGAATGTTTTTCCTCAAAATCTAATCACAAAAGATAACTTGATTTCTTAATTTTTAAAGAAATTAAATCTCGACGACTGAAAATTAACAAGAAGATAGAAAGTTCATATCTTTTTGGGTTGATTTCATTCAAGAGAGAAGATGATTTTTTTTTTTTTGAGTTTAAACCTTCAACCATTGATCTTTTAGAAAGAATTGGAGAAGATGAAGTATTAAAAAAAGAAGTAATTAAATAATAGAGAAGGAAATGACACGTGGAGCACTTTCATTTGTTTTTGGAAAAAAAATTCACGTCCACGCATATCATCTGCATGAATGTAAACATAGGGAGAAAATGGGTTAAAATGGTCACTTTACAACTATATTTAATACTTTTATGGGGTAATAGGATGCCCACATAGTTAAGGTGTCTTTTTAAAAATTCAAAACAACTTCAAATGTCACTTTATGTCTTTATCATAATTAACTAGTTAATCATCAATTTAAAATCTTACCAAAAGTGTGTACAAATAGGAATACCTATCTAGTCAAGTATTTCACAACGATGTTATACCTTTTACAAGCCTATTAAGTTAATCAATCTTTTTTTTTTTTAAAAAAAGACTAAACCTGAAAGAGAAAGAAGATAAATGGGTGACAATAACTATAGGCAAAAGATCTAGTACTGGATGTTGGAGCTTTTGACCAAAGTAAGCTGAATTTAAAATCAATTCACCTAACTAATACGTTTTTTAAGTTTTTTACAAAAGTAGTATAAACGTACTTCATAGTAACGTTTTAGGTTATTTTTATTTTAAAAATTCAACGGACAGAAAAGCTAACGGATCTGACGACGTTAAATGAATAAACGTTACTGTGAGTAACGTTTTAGGTGTAAAACGTTACTCACAATAACGTTTATTGAGAATCCAATCCTGTAAATTCAGAATGAAATCCTGCAAATTTAAAATGTTACTCATAGTAACGTTTTTAGGTGTAAAAACGTTACTCTGAGTAACGTTTCTAAAGAATCCAATCACGGGCCTTCAACTCCTGCAAATTTAGAATCGAATCCTGCAAATTTAGCT